ATGGTATCTGATCGTTGCGTGCTTAGGAGCTAGTTCAGCCCCTTCAATGTATCTGAGTAATGACAGCGACTTCAAAAACTAATGATAATGATGCCGACCGTTCACATACTAATTGCGACTCGGAAACTTCCTTGGCGCTCTATGGTTCGAGAGTTAAATCGTCCAGAAGATTGATATCGAGAATGACTAGCACTCAGTGATATAACATACGCTCTACTCCACGATGACAATAGCCGCTTGTCACATCACGTGTGCGGATAACGGGATCACAGTAGTTATAGATTGAACAACTTGGGTTTCACTCATCACGGGTTATTAGGAGACGGTCTGTGAACTAAGGAAGGTATTATTTTCAAAATACAGGTATCTATAGCAGGACCGGAATAAATAGGAATACGGGGTTTATTATTTGCCCTGCAGAGCGACATTTCGATACACCTTCTAGGGGTCTATTTCGCCCTCAGTGAGCCCAATTTCTCTGTAGCATAGTCGCGACGGCTATGCTCAGTACACTCGGAGTCACAAGAATACGCGATTAGAGTCTCAATGAGCAAGAATGAGGTTTCAAGGGATGATAACACCCACAAGGTAACGTCTTTCGAAGATTCATCGCTCCCGAATGTCTCTCCCGCTGGCGAAAGCGTAGGGTAACTAATAATACATCAAGCCTCAATCTGACATGTTTCTTACATAAATTTTCCCTCGAAAATACCAGAATCGCACGAGAGGCCCAGATCTGTTGGACCAGGCTCCATCTCGTCCGCTGTGATCACAGGAAGGAAGTCTTGATCATCTGGGCTCACAAGATGAGCCGACGTTCTGCTGTTCGTTGGGTGTCGCTCACTCTAAGATGCGGATCGTGAATGCTCGAGTTCCGGTTGAGGCTTACCGGTGAGGGGAGAGTAGCATTTAACCGCATTATGAGTGGTGAAGTGACTCCTTTGGAGAAAGGTGGAGAAAATCTGTCCATAAACCGTATATGGCCTGTCGGGTAAGAGGTATATATGTGATTGGGTCCTTCAGCTGAGCTCGGGAGTTTCCTCACTAACTATAGAAGTTTATGTATGAATTCGGGTAGAGGTGTACAGAAACCAATAAACAGCATCTCTCAAAATTTCCTCAGAGTTTTCATAATTCCACCAGCACATCTATTGTCACCATCGCTTCGCAATCGTTCACGATAGGTCGTTGCCATTAACGAATAGTAACTACTCTACTGAGGTTCAATTATCGAACTGACTGATACAATTCAGATCACCTTCACCGAGCTTCCTCCAGTTTAGCTTAGCGCACAGAGACTATTCGCACAGGAGAGTACTCCTATGATGTCATGACGCATCCCAAGGTTTCCGGAGAGTCAGTCAGTGAAGACAAGGTTACTCCCTCATCATGCGGTCTCCATCTGATCTACTGATATCATACTCTTGAATGTTTGATTCACCAAAGTAGCCCTAGGCACTAATCAGGCATGACCGAAAGACTACTAAATATCACATATACCATTCATGATACAGGGAAGCTGTATTTGAGAACTTGACAGTTCCCCTATGATGAATATTCTCAGACTTGCCACTAAACGCGCTTTCGCTGGTCGTAAGAAGGTTATGCATAACAAGCATGATCAATTTTATGTCAGATTGAGATTATCCTCATCGAATAAGCAATACATTGGGATAAGTTGAAGCACTTCTCCCTGTTCGAAGGTCGACAGGTTCTCGCCATCAGTTACGTCATTTTACGCACGGTATAAATATGCTCGTTTCGCGTTTGTACATTCACATCCCCGCGAATTTGATGGTTCTAATTACGAAGTATATGCTTTATATGCTTGTAGTTCTCAATGAGAAGACTCCGAGTCTTCTCATCCAATCCATTCACCCCCGGTGAGAAACCCAACACTGGGATCTGCGCTTGGTGATGAGTTTCGGAACTTGCTATCAAAAGCCCAATCACATCCTGATGTTACCGAAGGAAAAAGTCCCGTAGCCCTTCTGCTCTACTAATATCGATCAACGCACGCAGAACGCTATGAACAAGATTCCGCACACATTTGCGCGGCCTAGATCTCGTACGCAACGTCGCGACTCGCGACTCGCGAGTAGATCGACCACAGGGAAATCAAGAAGTATACACCTTTTAAAGGCCTTTTTTGCGTTAAGTAAGATCAATTTCGCAGGGCGAGCGATCATTCGAGCCAAGATCTGCCTTAGTAAGATCAATTTCGCCAGCGCGCTCGATAGAAAAATCAATTTCGACGACACGTGTCATTAGTACAATCAATTTTGCCGGCACGTCTGAAGTAATTTCGACGAAGTGCGGAAATCAGTTTCGCTGATAGTACATTCAATTTCGTCTAGGGAGTCGTTATGCCTATCATCATGCCAAACCCAGATAACAACTCTGACGATGAGAGTTACCAGGACTCCGGTGACGAAAGCTATTATAACTCCAGTGATGACAGTCTCTGTGGCCCAGCCGAGGGGGATGGTCCAATCCTGCCT